TATGGATTTAATTATGATATCAGGATGATCCAGGTATCAAAATGTAGCTTTTAAAGACAAGAATCTGAAAATGTAATTAGGTCATTTTGATCTAATTTGACTTAATCCTCATTTCGATACGATGGCTCACCAATGTAAAGGTGATACTGATAGTTTGGGCAGGCAGTTTTGGAAAGCCCTTGGTGTAAAAACTATTTAAAATCTGTCTTTATAATGTTTTATAAAGAGTACAAACAAAATCTTTCTTGAATCACAACAAATTTTCCTACAATATGTGTTTCTGAGAAAAGCCATTTTGTGTCTGATAAGGGTTGCTCAGCTGTGGCGGCCATCTTGAATTGGGTTAAAAATGTAATTATTTATAGATTTAAATCCAGTGATTGTTTTCTAAAAGTGTCATTAAATCATAAAATATTTGACTAAGGACACAGACAATGGAACACATTTGAATAGACAAAGTATCTGCTGCTGAATGACATCAGTCATGAGTTATATTCTCTTTTTCACAAGTGATGAACATTTTATATAAAAAGTTTGGTACCACAGAGGATGTTTATCACAGAAGGAAATGTTGCGACAACAAACGGTCTCCTGTGAGGATTATTATAGTATCTGATGAGGAAATGAGAAACGGAGTGACTCCTTGTTTCCTGCTGCAGAGGGACTCCTGGGACCAGCCGGGCCCGGAGCCCGTGTCACAGGTGGAGAGTCTCTGCACAGACAACCTGGCCTCTGTCAGCGTTCCCGCCTCCATGCCCAGTCCAGAACCCCCGGGGAGCCCCTCTCAGTACCGCTCCCCCAGCCGAGGCTCCTCCATGGTCCCCCCTGCCAGCAGCTACACCCTGCACCCCCTGGAGGACGTCCACTACCACCCTTTAACCACCAGCAGCCCCTACACTGTGCCCTCCTCCTCTTTTCCCTGCCCCCCCTACATGAGCAGCCCCGTCACCGACCTGGTGTCCAAGATGGTGACGGATGAGGTCTCTGAAGGCCATGACAGCCTCCCCAGCAGCACTGAAGCCCACTCCTCCTGGGTGAAGGAGGACGGGGTGAGCTCCTGGTCCCCCTATGAGCTCAGGAGGGCCTACTGACACGGAGCCCCGACAATCACAGACGTTATACGACAAAATGAGCCTGAAATGTTTCTGATGTGTTGTGTTGGACGATATTCACATCACTTTTTACAGTTTCTGCTTGTCTTCCATGTAAACATGTTCTTTAGTCTGATGGGAGGAATATGGTTTTTAAAGTTACACAGTCAAAAATTACCACCAATATTTATGTTTTATTGAGACTTTTATAAGAAAAAAAGAACAGATTTATTTTTCAAAGTCAGTTTTTCACCATATGATTCATACATTTATAAATGTCATAGTTTATAAACTAAATGTTTAACTTACAAATTAAATATTTAGTTAACAAGATAAATATTTAACTTGTGACATATTTAGTTTTGAGCTAAATATTTAGCTTGAAACTTAAATATTTAGCTAGCTACCTAAATATTTAGGTTGCAACTTAAATATTTAGGTAGCTAGTTAAATATTTAACTCGCTAGCTAAATATTTAAGTTGCAACCTAAATATTTAGGTAGCTAGCTAAATATTTAAGTTTCAAGCTAAATATTTAGCTCAAAACTAAATATTTAAGTTCAATATTTAGGTGGCTACCTAAATATTTAAGTTGCAACCTAAATATTTAGGTAGCTAGCTAAATATTTAAGTTTCAAGCTAAATGTTTAGCTCAAAACTAAATATT